GCAAATGTACAACGTTTCGACAAGGTTTTGTCATCATCAGGTATATTAAAGTTTTCTTCATTACCCATTTAAGCCGTCTCCAGCCATTACTACTGTACAATGGTGCGAATTTTAGAACAGGTGATACCTCCAGGCGGTCTTCGGCCTCTTTCGGGGAAATAAAGATGTTACGTAGAATTGGGAATAAAGAGTATTCCATATTTTTGATTGTAGTATTCATTATCTTCAACACATACTTCCACTTGTAAGATAATTAAAGGTACAGGCAGGCAAAGGAAGTTGAGTTCAGGTAATTTTCCGTTTAGGAAGTCTATTGTTGTAAACATATTCTTTCGTTTGGTGGGATCTTTTAAATAAGGTTACGTCCAACCCACGTAACGATAACAAATTAGTTTATTTTTTCCTTACCACACAGTCTACTATCATTTGTACACAGTTGTACTTGTAGGCCTAAGTTCACAAATAACTATCCCTTACAACAGAGATTTACTCATTAACGGTACTACCTAACGTACAAATAAACTTACTTTTACAATTATATGGTTAATTGATCGAATAACTGATTATACTCTACAGTTAATACTGATTCAAATACTTTGCTGAAACTAAATATTTCAAGGAATGACTGGCACTCTACCGACAGAAAACTGATTCAATGCATCACCTATTCTCATACTTATAATGTAGCAATGTTTCTAGATGCTTCGCAAAATTTTTCGATCACTATTATTCTAGAACGTTCTAGGTATTATACAACTAGTTTTATAAACTAACTTGATGCTAATGTCATGCTTCCTATATGTAGCATCTAAATTAAAACATTGAAAATATAGCTTACAGCACTACTGTTTCGTTCTTTTCTGCATTTATGTTGGTTAATTTCACTATTGAAATTTATTATTCAAAATATGTGACAATATCCTTATTCTTAAGGTTTCTATGAAACAACGAGGAATTGCTTGGTCTTCATTTCCATTGTAAAAGAGTGAGTGGTTAAACATCCAGTTAAAAATTTGATATTATTATTCTATTTAGCCGATTTAACAACATCTGATATTAAGTCAAGGTCAAAGCCAGCATTTTTGAACGAAAATAAGATACTATAACTTTATTTTACTTCTATTTTTGTAAGACGTCAGACAGGTTTACGATATTTTTTTACACTCGAGGAGCGTTTATTAACAATCAATTGATATTCTCACAAAATAATGCATAAAACTAGAAATTATGTGGAAAGAACAAGTTTGCTAATCCAAATATTGCCAAACTTTAACCTTCTGAAGGTCACTCTAAGTTGAATCTTTTTCTGACGTGTTATGCACCGAAATAACTTGTAACTTACGCTATAAGATAAACTCTGTGTATTCATTTCTTAAACAAAAGTTAGATTGAATAGGACACGTGAAAGAGGCGAAACTTATTTCTGTATAAACTTTCTGTTCCGTAACAGTGGATCTTGATTTTATTTTATATAGTTAATTATTTCATTTTTACAGCTGTTATAATTACTGGCGCTACAATCGCTACTGGCACTGCAAAAAGGGTGGTGGACGTAACGAAGTTTAGTCTCGTATGTGTGTCAATCAGAAAGTTTTGTGAGTTTCATATTATAAGATTTGATATAATTAATGATTGTGAATAATACTGCATTCAAGTTAAACTTTAATACTAGTCTTAAATTTCTTTAGAGTGTTTATTAATTATCATAAATGTTCCGAGTCAAGTTGAAACAATGAAAGTGAAATGTCAATTGTTATTGTGTTAGTATACTACCACTACCATTACTAGTAGTTATATTTATTAAATGTTATAAAGGGTAGCCTGATTAACCTGCCTTAAGTAGTGCAAAACAGTATTTAATTTTTAACATACAACACATTAATAAAGTATTTTTTAAAACAACTTCATTCAGTTCTCAAACACAAAGCAAGTGAGTAAGATCGAAAATGATCACATTAACACTAACCAAAACTGGTTCTAAAAATAATTAATTTTTTTGCCATTAATTAAATTATTCATTAGCACATTATTTTACATCAGATCTTTTTCTATTGCATTATTGGTGATATAACCGTAAGTAAAGCTCGTAATGTTTTGAATAAAGTTCTTGGGAATTATCACAAAGTGATAAGTTTTTAAGTTAACATGTATTTAATAATATGAACTAAAAGTGTCCACCAGTGTTGGAATGTATGTTTTTAAGGTAATGCATATTACTCATATAAGAGTACTGAATAAAATATTTTAGCACCTACATACTTGTAATTTTTTTTTTTACTTTGGAAGAGTATGATGTTGAAAGATAGGAATACTAATTTAGTGATATAAACTTCACACTGGACAAATTAATATACTTTTACCAGTTTCATAATGATTATTTGTCAGTAGAGTTGGGCATTTATTGGAACTTACTAATTAATGAATCATTGGATTGATCAATTATTTTCATGAGATGGCTAAGAAAAACAAAAAAACATTATTTATTGTCAAATGATTTCACTAAAAAACTTAACACAACAAACAGGGTTTCATTACCCATGGTGGATTGTGTAGCTTTGTGCTTAACAACAAACAAACATGATGGTAGTATTTCAGTTACCTAGATGGTTGGAATAATTCAGAATAATAATAATTGTGGATAATAATTTTGATTTGTTGATTATTTTTGTGACATCAATTAATTTGATCATAATTTGAATTAATCAGTTATTTTATGAACACTAATCAGTGTAATTGATCAAACATATAGTTGGTGTGAATGTACTTTATGTCATTATGAGAAAAACCTATACACTGGATAGGTGAAGTGAAGAAAAAGTGTCATTGGCCACTGTTCAGTTCTCCACATTTATATAGCAGGTATAATAAATAAACTTAGTATTATGAAAATTGTTTAATTTCGAAACCTAAGTTCAAGAGAGGTCCAGTTTATAGGTTTTTCTCATTGTGACTACAAAGCACGTTCACACCAACAATATGTTTGATACTTTTCACTATGATATAGGTCCAGCTTATCTTTATGTGGTTAACTTGTGTTCAGGGTTATGTATGAGGAGTGGAATTCTCCGAAACTAGTATAGCTCACGTTGATCAAAGTGTAGATTGAGCTGGACCTCCTTTGAACTTGTACTTCAAGATGAAATAATTTTCGGAATACTAAATTTATTTATAATGAAATTGATGCTCATAGAGGATCGATTGAATCATCCCAGTTCAGTGTTTAATTGACTGAGAAATAATTTTTCCCAAAAATAAATGTACATCTGTCCTTCAGAAGTTATATCCTGTTACCCTACATATTAAATTTTTTATTTCCATCTTTTTCATTCTACTACTACAACATACAAATTATAAACAGATTGCCTGGTTCTTTTACAATTTTAAATGACTGAATCATTCTTAGTTTTTTATTCCTTAAAGCAAGTATAATTGTTTTATGTTATTTCAGTACTCTTTCTAACAGTGTTATCTTTTTTTGTGGTGATGGTTTTAAAATATACATATTATTCTAATAACCCTTAAACTTGAAATTGTAAATTCCATAATCCTATAACATCATAGCTATAAGGTTTATACTTTTATTTTAAACAATCCCATCCATATTTATCTTTTACACTTAAAAAAAAACCACACACATATACAGTAAATAAAAAGTTTGGTACTATCTTCACGTTCTGGTATAGTTATGACTAAACTCAGTTCTGTGCTAAGTTAAAAATTACATGACATGATTTTAAGTAGTTGAAATAGGTTATAAGTTAATGTTACTTGTGCATGTACATCTTAAACTTAGAGAGTATATTTCTTCATGTTTCAAGAGACTTGATTTGTATTATTAAAACTTTTTTATATGTATATTTCTAGGTAGACCAGTTCTTTCAAAACATTAACATTTGTGAAGAGATGCGCATGGTATCTTTTGTACATGAATATTGTATTTAAGATAACGTGCAGGTTTGTATTGTGTTTCTTTATTATATTGAATATCTGTGTTAGAACACTGAACAGTCCAGTTCCTTCAAAGGACTTGTATTTATTTACTTATTTGTTTTAAATTGAAATTATATCTAAAATAATGTGATTGTACTTGTATACTTTGTTTGTGAAGGTTTATTGTTAGCTTAATATGTTGTCAAGAAAAACAAGCCAAATAAAACATTTTTTGCAAATAAATTTTACCTCTATCAGTTGCTATATATTAAAATTGTATATAAAGAATTTAGTACAGTTTTATGTCTTTTATAATTTTAAAATAGTTATTTTTTGTATAACTGTTTTAAATTTCTATTGACAAGACATCATTGTATAATTATTCTATACCTTTGAATGCTACCAAATCTTAACATAAAAGTTGATTTTACTTTAAAAGTGCAGTTTAATTGGATAAATATTATATTTTATGGATACATCATAGAATTATTCTACTTGTAAAGTAAGAGAAAAGTCTCTCTTACAATAAAATAACTATCATAATTAAAACTTGCCATTGAGTTTTATTTGCATTTTTTGAAATATTTGTCAAAACTTAAAATAATTTTATGATTAATATTGACACAATGACTGGCATTTAATAATTTAAGTTCATTGTTATCTTACACATGCAACTGTGTCATGTTACTTAGCCCTTATTTTCCAGCCAAATTTATAAATCTCAACAAGAAATAAAACAATCATACTAGTAGAGTTGGACAAATACAGCTAATCAGTTAATACATGTCTCTGTTTATCTATTAGTACAGTGTTCCTCAAACCATGTTACATACAAACAAAAATAGAAGTTTGCAGTGAGTGCTACTAACCATCTAATCAGAAGTTTAAGAATAAAAATGAAAGTTGGTGTAATGTACTGCCAGACAGTTGCCTTCCTTCTAGTTAACAGTTCAAAATTAGTGACAGTGGCAGTTAATTTTAGCAGCTTTGCCATAAAAAAAGGCAGGGTAAGCAAGTTTGGTGGCAATGGGAATCAAGTCTGAGACCCTTGAATCATGAGCCCACCCTCCCAAATCACCAATACTGAACAAACTTGACGGAAAAATAAAAAAAAACAACTTTTAAAGCTAAAATTAGGCAGAGCACAGCCCATTTAGCTTTGGCATAAAAACAAACAAACATAATAGCAATATTTTGATTGTTGGAATAATGAGAGAGCCTAATTTTGATTAGTTGATTATTTTTGTGACAGGCAATTTAACTGTAATTCGATTGATCAGTTTACATGACACTAATCAATGTAATTGCTAATCATAGGTAATCAATAACCAGCTATAATACCAATATTTGATTGTTTATAATGTGAATTACTGTGTTGCAAGAACAATGAAGGATCTAATACCAAGTTATTGTTTTGCACTGGGTTGTTGGCCTGGTTTTAATGGATGGGTCTACAGATGTCCTACTTCTTATAAACAAATATAAATTTGATGATTATTGGAGTAACATAAACTATTACAAGTTCCAAAACTGAATGGAAGAAATGCCTCAAGTTTCTTGTTTCACAATTAAAACACAGTTTATCTGAAAATAATTGTAACTCTAAGTAGAGACATACTGTTGTCATTTAGTGTGATTACTTAAGAAATTCCACATATTTGCATTTTTTGGAATTTGAAAAAATCAGTAAATACATGCAAATTACTTAAAGATTTAAATGAAGTAGCTTTGAGAGTTGTATAAGCTAGCAGTAATATTTTCCCCCAAAATTAAAATTTATAGCAATTTGCCGACTTTAATAGTATAACAAAAATGTGTATAAACGTTTAAGCTGAAGTGTGCAGATTTGCAGGATAACATTATGAAAAGTTTTTTAGAGAACTTATGTAAGTGCTCCTAAAGCTGTGTTGTCTTTTACATGAGGAAAAAAAGTATAAACCACAGCTTTCTAATTCTCTGATACTTTTCTAAATATTTGTGATAAAGTTTGTTCATTGGCCAAATCTAACAGTACCATATATTTCTTGTACCTGTACTAAACAGTCTGTTTTGTCATTTTAAACAACAGTTGAATGGCTTCAAATGGTCGCATGAGAAGGTGCAATGGTACTAGACCAGGCTATAGAGTGCATGGAGGAAGGTATCGTCCATCGGCAGAACGTGAAATAAGAGCTGCTAAGCATCATTTTCATTCTTGGGATTACATAAATTCCATCCTAACAAATCTTAACAAACTGCGAGAAAAAGAAAAGTTTTGTGATGTCACTATTTCTGTCGCCGATGAAGAATTTCATGCACATCGACTGGTTCTTGCTGCCAGTAGCCCCTACTTTGAAGCAATGTTTAGTGGTGGGTTGGCAGAAGAGCAAGATAAACGTGTTGAAATCCAAGGCATCTCATCCTTGGTATTTAATGAATTGTTGAAGTTCATCTATTCTGGTAAGTGAGTGATTTTTGTAGGCTTTGGACACAATTATATTTCTTTGTATTGTATATCTGTATAATACCTGTACCTGTATAGCTGAATTAAAATTTGTGAGTTTCAGTTCCTATCTAAAAATACTCCTAAGCAAAGTGTTTAAAAATTTGTATACTATTGTTGTTAAAATTAGTCAGAAAAGCACATAAACACTTAATATACCTATCAAAATATTTCTTAAAAGCCCCATTATCTGTATTGTGAGTGCTGACACATTTTGGCATGATCTTGTAATGGTTTATAAAAGGTAACCAAGGAAGTTGCAACAGTTAAGTGGGTGTAGGATGGAGGAAACTGTTACCTACTTCCACCTAATACTAAAGCTCTGTGAATCTTTTTTTTTTTTAAGTTTAAGTAAGGAAAAATAGTTAGTGAGTTTGGCAGCCTTGTTTATCTTCAAGTCTTTGATAATGTGATATTTTTCTGCTTTGAAAACCTGAAACTGTCCAAATGCTATGAAAAATTATTAATATTCATGTTTTAAAACTTGTGTCAGTTAAGCTCAATAACCAAAATAATCTATTGTTTTTTGGAGCTGCACTGTTTTAATTTTCTATATTTCTACTTTTTGATTATATATACCATACTTGTATCTTTTAGGGGAAATTAAGATTATTCAAGAAAATGTTCAGGATTTGCTTGCTGCTGCAAACATGTTGGAAATATCACAGGTGGTTTCTGCTTGTTGTTCTTTCCTGCAGAAGGAATTACACCCATCAAACTGTGTAGGTATGTATGTACACATACTGCTTGATCCTGTGAACTTCTAATTAATGAAAAATTATCATGGATGACTAGAGCAATGTTCCCGAAATGTTTTTCATCTCGTGGCACACTTTTGATGTCCTAAACTTTTTGTGGCACCTGTAAATAAGTCTTTATTAAGATGGGCAGAAATTATTGTTATAATGTGTATCAAGGAGAAAATAAATCAAACTAAAATATATATATATTATATTGATAATAGATTTACATTACTAAATAAAAATTACTTAATAATTGCAAAAATTCTGTGGCACACAGTTTGGGAAGCACTGGACTAGAGGCACATCATAGATCAAAATTGCAAATTCTTCAAACTTATAACATTGTTATGATTATTCTTGCAAAAAAAAAAGTGAAACAGTCAGTTTTGTTATGAATGAGTTATTTTTTGGATTAATTTTAAATGCTATAGAAAGTTTTGTTTTTTAATGGCATTAGCTGAGTCACCTTATTTATAAGTACTCTGTGAGGAATGTGATTTGAACACAATAACAATGATAGTTGTTTATCACCTTATTTATAAGTACTCTGTGAGGAATGTGATTTGAACACAATAACTTCCTCACAGAGTACTTATAAATAAGGTGATAAACAACTATCATCTGTGATTTGAACACAATAAAGATGATAGTTGTTTATCACCTTATTTATAAGTACTCTGTGAAGAATGTGATTTGAACACAATAAAGAAGATAGTTGTTTATCACCTTATTTATAAGTACTCTGTGAGGAATGTGATGATTTGAATAGAATAAAGATGATAGTTGTTTATCACCTTATTTATAAGTACTCTGTGAGGAATGTGATTTGAACACAATAAAGATGATAGTTGTTTATCACCTTATTTATAAGTACTCTGTGAGGAATGTGATGATTTGAATAGAATAAAGATGATAGTTGTTTAATAATAAGTTTCTAGTCTTTAGAGCTAAGATCATATATAAAAAAAACTGTCTTAATATTAAACAAAGTATCACAATCGGGTGCCTTTTTTCTTTTCTTGCTAGTCATGATATTCAGTATTTGGGAAAAAGACACTTATATTTACTTTCATATTTGTGTAAGGCAGAAAAAATACTAATGTTTTTCATTAATAACATTCTGTAATTTCAGTTGATGAAAATCACATAATTTTCTCTCTAAAACGTGATATACCATTATGTACAACCAAAAGTTTCTGTTTTTTAGGTATATGTCAGTTTGCTGAGCTCCATGCCTGCACAAACTTGAAACTTGAGGCCAAGAGGTACATTGAGAGAAATTTCATCGAGGTTATCCAGGAAGACGAGTTTTGTGAACTGCCAAAGGATTCCCTAAAAAGCTTTTTGAGGAGTGAAGGCTTAAACATTGACAGTGAGTTTCAGGTTTTCCAAGCTACCATGAAGTGGATACTTCATGACGTTACACATCGACAAAAGTATGTCACTGAGCTTTTGGAGGCTGTTCGTTTGCCTGTTATCTCCATAAAACAGCTAGATGCTTATGCTCAAGAGTGTCCAGATCTAAATCTGAAAGTTACCTTGTTAAAATCTCTTCAAAATCACAGAATGGAAATGAGATTAGTAGAAGCAAAACGGCGTTTAGGTCAAGTTTATGATGTTCGTCTCCAGCCTCGAATGTGTGCAAAGAAATGTGTGTATGTGTTAGGTGGTTATAATCGTGAATTAGGAAGAAGGTGGAATGAAAGTACCACACTAGTAACTGTTGAACGATTGGAAACATTTAAATGTCAATGGAAAACGTTATCACCAATGCTTCATTCTCGTAGTGGACATGGTGTTGCAGTACTTAATAACTTGATTTATGTCATAGGTGGTGAGAGTGATTGTTTAATATTTAGTAATGGAGAAGTTTATGATCCAGTGTCCAATCAGTGGTCCATGATTTGTAGTATGAACCAGCCTAGATGTGCTTTAGGTACCTGTGCTCTGAATGGCTACTTGTATGCCCTTGGAGGATGGGTGGGAGCTGAGATAGGAGATACAATGGAACAGTATGATCCTCTCCAAAATAAATGGACTATTGTTGGAAAAATGAGCATTCCCAGATATGCAATGGGTGTAGTTGCTTATCAAGGTAAGTTGGAACCTTAGTATTTCTTAACAGTGGAATGTTTTATCCAAATAGTATAAACAAACAATAGGGTATAAAGATGTGTAGTATCTTTGAGCATGAAGTTTGACATATTCTATGTGAGATAGATGTAGGGGAAAAAATGATATGTAATAAAATAAGTAAATTGGCAAGATGGTATCAGAGCTCGAAATTAGTGGTGGCATTCTTGCAAAATGGCAGTGTGTTCTGTCTGAAGAGTTTAACCAGTGACCAACAGGAGGTATTGACGTTTGTTTTGTCAGTTGATAATCCAAGTATGATTATAAATATTCAAACCATTTGTGATACAAGTAACAATTATTTTTAGAAAAATTGGCTGCAAGCATAACATTTATAAGAAATTTGATACTATACTAGTGAGTAAAGGAGACTAGGCCTGCAACATATGTCTGTACAAATGTTAGAAACCCATTTTTTTGAAACTTATTTATTGAATGTAAAGTTTTGTGTATTCAAATAACATAAATACAAGAGCCTGATGATGACAAAACCTAGTCGAAACATTGTACATTTGCTGTTTTGTTAAACTTATATTAAATTTTTTCTTCATTACCCATTCAAGCCATCTCCGAGCATTATTAGTCTCAAATTGGATTCCTCGTAATCGAATTTGAATAAATACAAGAGCTTCTTATGTATAGATAACAAACTAGCACTATTAGATATAATTTTATTCTGGCCAAAAATGTCTTCAAAATATCATGCCACAACACCAAATAACGGTAACAATGAAATTTTGAAAGAAAAGATCATTGTTTACTGCTAAGACTTTGTTGTTCTTGCCATGTTTGTATGATTTATTGAGGGAAGTTGGTCTCTTCAACCTGCAAAATAAATATTGTAATAAATATCAAACGATTTACAATTAATTAGATCGGTGGTTTCCAAACTGTGTGTTGCATCAAGTTGGTATGGGTGTCACGAGAGTTTCACCTCCAGACTGTGTGTTGCATCAAGTTGGTATGGGTGTCACGAGAGTTTCACCTCCAAACTGTGTGTTGCATCAAGTTGCTAGGGTGTCACGAGAGTTTCACCTCCAGACTGTGTGTTGCATCAAGTTGGTATGGGTGTCACGAGAGTTTCACCACTAAACTGTGTGTTGCATCAAGTTGTTAGGGTGTCACGAGAGTTTCACCACTAAACTGTGTGTTGCATCAAGTTGCTAGGGTATCACGAGAGTTTCACCAAATGAAGAATAATTAAGAACATAGAAAAAATATTGCATTTGGCAGCAAAGGTGTTGTGCAAATCAAGATAAGTGAAAAAAGTTAGGAAACCACTGCATTAGATATATTAAATGAAACTTAATGATGCTTAATAGAAAAAAAAAATGTTGAAGATGAAAGGAAGGATTTTATTTTTCAAAATAGTATATCACAAAAAAATTTCAAAACTTGTATTAACTATAAATGATGTACTAAATCAAATTTTATTAATTTTTTCTGTACAAAAACTAAATATTATTTGAAAAGTTTTTAACAAAAGTCATACATTTTGATTTAGGTGCTTTGGCCCAGAAAAAAGTTTTAAAATATGAAATTGAAAAGGTGACATTGTATAGAAATAATAATTCATGTCAGCTGACTACTTCTATCATTAAAGGCTTATTTACATGAGGTAACCATAGACAGTAATTCATATATGAATTTGGTGGGGGGCACTTTAATTACTATCTGAACTGTGACTATTAAATTGAGAATCGATACAGTTACTTCCCTAGTAATTGTATGCAAATCTCTACTCCCCATTCTAAGGAACGCTTTGCCACTGAGTCAAAACTGGGGAGCACATGCCCTTCCTCCTGTTTCTGCAGCCTATGAAGGCAACTTCTGTATGTCTTATAGGCCACCTCATGCAGCCTAAGGAGGCAACTTCTGTATGTCTTATGGGTCACCTCATGCAGCCTATGAAGACAAATTCTGTATGGCTTATGAGTCACCTCATGCAGCCTATGGAGGCAACTTCTGTATGGCTTATGGGTCACCTCATGCAGCCTATGGAGGCAACTTCTGT